TGAACCGCAGTCGACTACATGGGAGGCCAGCGACATAGCCATTATGCTAACTGCTGGTCCCGCAACAATTTCTCTTTTAAAAAAGATGGGACCAGTAGTTGGCAAAATGGCTATGTCGCTGGAATCCCATGGAGTCAACTGCAGTTATGGCCCCAGACCCAGTGGTTTAAACTCACGCTGGGCGCATGTGCGGGTGTGCCCAAGATCCCAAGAGGAGAATGGAGGAGAAAGGATTGTGGCGTGGCCATCCCCGCTAGGGGGTGATTTTTCAGTTTCTGTCTCTCTCTTCTTTCTGGCGAGGGCACATGCCCTATAGTAAAAACCACTCCCCATCCCCCTGAAAAGAAGAATAAGGACTAGGTCAGAAAAGGCAGGAAGGGGCGTAGGTCCAGGCCACGAAAGATACCTCGGTGATCTCCTGGGGCAGGCAGTCTGCACAGCCTTGCAAAACCTTGATAATCTTCTGGTGGTGTGAGGGGTTCTCTGCAAAGCAAATCTCCAGCTGCCGAAGGAATTTACGACTCTTCTCAAAAGCCTGCTGCTCCTCAAACTACCAGAGAAGAAAAAAGAACAAAAGAGGAATCACCTATTTATTGACAGGAAAGCAGCAAAGTCTTTAGCTAGAGGACTTGAGAGCTCTAAGGGAAAAGAACTAAGAACTGGTAGCTGGAGCACAGGGGAGGACTATGCTCTGGTTTGCAACTGTGAGCTCTGAATTCAAACCCTATCACCCACCCGCCTTGGGTCACTGGACGCTCCCAACCCAAGATAGCTCAGAAATGTGTGAACAATTCAAGAGGTGCACATATCTCTAAGCGTTTATTGCTTCATGCATTGAGAAATCAGTGAAAGGAATCAGACGTTACAAGGCATGCTCACACATACACTCATTTGATCCTTGTAACACCAGGAGAGAGGACGGCCATTACATGCTCAATCGTCCACTGCTGTTTAACTGCCACAGACACTCAGAGTCATGGTCATGCCCTCTATTCTTGTTTTGGTCAGTTTGGACAGGACTACTGAGATACCCCTAATATTGAGACTAATTCTTCAACAGTTCGAATGTCACCTTCCCAGTGGCCTTCTCAGGCCACCCAGTATAAAACACACACCACCCCCTTACCATCCGGCACGTAGACTTTTGAGTTTCTTTCCATTTTATTTTTCTATGATGCATCATATACTACATGGCTTACTGTTTTATATATGATCTATTTACAGTATCTATTTTATAGATTATCATCGGACTTTCCCCAGGTGTCCGTAAGCTTCATGAGGACAGGGACGTTTGTGCTTTTTTTTTTTCTTCTTCTATGAGCAAGAAAGAAACACTGCCAAGAGATGCCATGATCCTCCCCCAATCTCAGCCAGCCCTGCATCGTGGCATGTGCGTGCCCAGCATGCTCAGGGAGTTCTGACACGAACCCAGCATGTTCACATGTGGGTCAGCCTCGCAGTGGGGCCTTTCACTGAGGCACCACCATCCGGCCCAGAGACTCTTTCATTACTGTGCGCTCAGCACCTAGACCTTGGCCTGGCACAGAGAGGTACTCAACCAGTGTTTATTAAGTGAACGCTTGTTTAACATCAGTGAGGACCAGAGTATGACAACTGCCAACTGAATAAAAAGCCCTCTTTTGGGGCCAGCAGGCAGCATGGTGGTAAAGGTGATAGAATCCCACATGGCCGAATGCAGTTCGAGTCCTGGACCTGGTGGGCTGAGAATCGCACCGGGCATGTGTACTTCTGTGCCCAAAACCCTGAGAGGAGAATGGAGAAGGGACTGCAGGATGGCCATCCCCTGGGGGTTGATTGTTCACTTTCTCTCTCTCTCTCTCTCTCTCTCCAGTAAGCACTCATGCCCTATGGGGGGAAAAAAAAAACAAACTTCTCATCGTCCATGTAAAGAAAGTGGGAGAGGGAACCAGCAGTTAGCGTAATGACTTGTTTTACATCAGTGAGGACCAGAGTATGACAACTGCCAACTGAATAAAAAGTCCGCTTTTGGGGCCAGCAGGCAGCATGGTGGTAATGGTGATAGAATCCCACATGGCCGAATACAGTTCGAGTCCTGGACCTGGTGGGCTGAGAATCGCACTGGGCATGTGTACTTCTGTGCCCAAAACCCTGAGAGGAGAATGGAGAAGGGACTGCAGCATGGCTATCCCCTGGGGGTTGATTTTTCATTTTCCCTCTCTCTCTCTCTCTCTCCAGTAAGAACACATGCCTTATGGGGGAAAAAAACCCTTCTCATCCCCTATGTAAAGAAAGTGGGAGAAAAGAGGTGATGGGAGGATCGTGACTTTGAAAGACAGGTGCTCTTACCACCCTGCGGGAGGAGACAGCTATCTGTCTAGAAGACTGGGACACTGCAACAGCCTTACTCGCCTCCATCTAATCCAGCCTCGCCTGACCCAGAGGCCTGCTGCACAGGTGCTGTACATCTACTTACTAATCCACAGGCCAGAGCTTGTTCGGGTAACAGGAAAGCAGCAAAGTCTTTCAACAGCTGAGGCCAGTCTTGGAGCAGAAGTCGCAGGCTTTTGTAGAGATCCACCGCTGTCTGCCTCTGGGTACTGGACTCAAATTCATAAATGATCTGAAGGAAGTCCTCATACTTGCCCGGGATATGCTGTAGGGCTTCTCGTACCTATGCAGGAAGACTTTCTGTCATCAGCGCCCTTTCCCTGGGTCTTGACAAGAAGCATGAGTAGAGGAGGAGGGGTGATGGCTAAAAAGCTCTGAGAATTTCCCTTTGGAGGCTCCTCCTGCAACAGGGCTTAAAATATGGCTGTTAATGGAAGACAGACCCAAGAGCAAGGCAGAGCTCTTCCTCTAGCCATGGGCAGCTGCAAGCCCTTCGTGTCCCAGGGACCACGACCGGCCCAGAAGAGCAGAAAATGCTTTTCTCTAGGCCCCAGACATAACCTGTCTTTTCTAACTTCAAACCCTGAAATAGAGTGTTTTGCACATGTATTTCAGTATGGTGTCATTTGAGGGTAAAGAATACATAAACTTGGGGCCAGTAGTAGGTGGCATGATGGTTAAGGCGCTGCACTCCCATATGGCTGGCTGTGGTTCGAATCCTGAACTTGGCAGCTTGCTCTCACTTTCTTTCTCTCTCTCTCTCACTCTGTCTCTCTCTGGAGAGCCCACATATTATATAATAAATTAAAATAGTAACGGTAAATAAAATTAAATAATTTTTTAATTAAAGAAAGAAAATAACACATGAACTTGGGGTGTTAATAAGCTATCAGGAGCTCAGAAAAAGCCACCACGGTCGCTGCTCGTGCTATACTTTGCTGCGGGGAGAAAGAACTCTGCTGGTCACTAGCAGGAAGACACAGCAACCCAGGACACTCAGGAACAGGCTGGTGCAGGCCTGACAAGCAAGGGCCTTCCCTGAGAACCCCAGTGTGGCTGCTGTACCATCTGTCTTCTCAAGTGAAGGGCTCACCAAAGGTCCTCCTTGGCTGGCCCACCCGTAAGTCACAGGTCCCCACTGTCAGTCGTGGTCTCATCCTCCCCACAGGCTCTGGGCATGGAGGCAGGGTGTCAGGGCGCAACAACAAACATGCACCACTGACTCTGCCACCTCGTGGTTCTCTCAGAGAACTTCCGGCAGTTACAGGAGAGCGAAGGCAGACCCATACCGAGCCTGTTTTGCAGCCCCCAAAAAAACTTCATTGTAAAAATCCTCCCCTGGAAGAAGAGCAGCGATGTTCATAGGGGCTGGAGGTAAAAGGAAGCAGCATTTGCCTACCCGGGTGAGATAGGCCTGGGCAAAGGCCAAGTCCTTCTGCTCCCTGAGAGGATCCCGCTCAAGAATGTCCTCATCGTACAGCAACAGCAGCTTGGAGGTGTCCTTGCTGGCCCGCGCCCGGCTTCCCCGCTTGCTGCGAGCTCGATGACTGCTCCGGCTCTTCCCAGCAGCTTTGACGTTCTCTCCTTGGAAAAAGATTTTTCTCTGTCCCTGCAACCCCGACTTCCACTCCACCACGTCCCGTCCTAGCCAAACCCCACTGGATGCCATGGAGCACCTCAGAAGGCAGGCCGCTGGGAAACCATGTGAGATGCAAGCCGGTGTCTGCCGAGGCAGCGCTGTGGAGTCTGCAACGTAAGTGCTGACTGGAACGACAGTAAGGGAATCAGCCACGGCATACCGAGAAAAGGTCTGAAGAGTCAGGGTGGCCTTGTGTCGGGCTGCCGAGGGACTCGTGATAAAGAACGGTGCTTTCTGGAGTAAACAGAGCCCTTGCTCTCAGACATGACAGAATGGGACTATTCACAGACAGTCCGACGGACCTAGTACAATCTAGTACCTGACGACAATCAGTTTTCTGGGCATCTCTTCTCACAAAGGCACCACACTGGACAGCTGCTTTGGGGACGGAGGCTGAAGGGGAGATACCTAGAGTTTCCTCTGGAATCCACCAGCTGGTGTACGACCACACCTTCTGCCCACCACCCTCCAGACAAGGAGGCGAGGTGAGCCCTGCCCTGCAGTGTGGACATGCCCCACTCACCTGGTGGGGTCCTGCTGGTTTCCACTTCCGGGGCAGTCGTGGGTGAGGCGAAGGTGGAAGGGGGCTTCGCAGCAGAGTCTCCAACTGCGTCATCCGTCATTTCCTCCTCCTTCCGCAGACTCTCCATTCCCTCGGCTTCTTCTTCCTCCTCCTCTTCTGGCTCGGAGTTCTCCTGGGAGTTCTCTTCCTCAGACTCACCCTCCTGACTCACACGCCTTTCCGATGCCAGCCAAGTCAATTTCTCCATTGTTTCCTGAAACCCCCCACACATACAAAGAGTGTTTAATGGGTTCCTAGCGGCTCGCCAAACGCCGGCAGCTCGAAGCTGTACCAGGAGCGTCTGAGATTAGACGACAAGGGGCCCACCGCAGCCCTCAGTCAGAAGCCTGACTCCTACAGGGGTCAAGTCCCAGGGCTAGCTGGGATTGCTCTGAGGGCAGACGGGGAGAACATGCGTTTTAAAAGGTTCCCTCTGCCCTGAAGATATGCTCCTTTCCCATAGTCCATATTCCTGAGTTATTTTTTAAAATGTTATAAATGTGCTCAGGTGGTTGAATTTAATGTTTAAATTTAACTAAAATAAAACAAGTAAAATTTCACCTTTGCCCTCTTATTGTGTATTCCGACCCACAGGACAGTCAAACAGTAACCTGGGGGAGGGAGTGAGAAAAGGGACACACACACAGACACACAGAGTGGAGACAAGATGAGGTGCTGATCAAGTCTCAATTTTATTGAGGAAGAATGTTGAGTTTATATACAAGCTGGTGGGCATTGATTGGTTGCCTGAAATGCAAATAAGGTATCACAGATGGACCAATCACTGGTGCCCTGGAAGCTGCCCTAAATGCAAATGAGGGATTCTAGTTCAACCAATCAGCTAGTATCCTGCAATTGCAAATAGGCATCCAGCCAAGGAGAGGCACGTTATCTCTCCAGTTGCCTAGAAACCTATCTACCCTGGGGGAAGAACAGTTGGTTACATGGTTTCTGGAAAATGGTTTGCTCAGTGAGGAAATGAAAGTGAAACCCAAAGGTTTCTAAGATGGCGGATAGCTCTTAAGATCGCTCCCGTATGCAGTGCCTTCCACATGTCCCCCTTTTCTATTTTTTCAAAGAGAGGAGGAAAGACCTGGGCGAATCGTGCCTGTCTAAGGTTGGAGTTGTTTTTAGAGCCACATGTCCATTCTTACCATCATTGGAGAATCCCATTGCGATGATGGGTTTCCTGTCTTAGGAGGAAGGACTTTACAGCATTGTGCTCAGACCCTCTTACCGGTCTTTGGCTAACTGATTTAGCACCTCAGGCAGGAGCATAATCTAAGCTCCGCGGTACTCCATCTCCAGGTTGTGGTAGTGGACTTGAACAGGCTGCATTTTTATTGAACCAATTTGTTGTTTAAGGAATGCCATGAGGTTATTGAAAAGGACAGGCCCCAAAGAGCAAACAATCAGAAGGCCTAAAAGAGGACCAAGCAAGGGGGAGTAAAAATGGGAGAAGTCTGTTCCATGTAGTCCATAAGGGGTTATCAGCGAGTTGTTTTCTATGCTCAAGAAGATCTTCTTGTCGTTGGTTGAGCTTGTCATGTACTATGTCGGATTTGTTGGTGTAAAAGCAGCAGCGTTCCTGTATAGCAAGAAAAAGACCCCCCTGTTCTGCTAAGAGGAGGTCTAACCCACGTCTATTAATAATATCTATGTCAGGAATAAGTATGGCAAGGGTACTAAGTTAGCGCCACAAACAAAGATTGTATTATGAGGAGCGCACAAAGTAGATGTATAGGTGTGTATCTTAACAGTACAGTTGGAGAATGCACTGAAGCCAAGAACGACCTCGTTGGAACGATTAAGGGAGGGGAAATAAAGGCAACTTATGTTTGAGGGGAAGATGGGTTGAACCAAAAACGGCAAAGTAGGTAAACAGTGTGAAGAATTGACAGGATAAGTTATACTGGCTTAGACAAAACTGTGGCCCATTTTGTTTTAGTTGTTGAATGCCAGAAGCGCTCAGCAGCTGAGCGTCTATCAAGTGTCAGAAAATTTAGGACAAAAAGTTTATGTGCTAGGTTTCTTGGTGAGCCTTTGGTTTGTAAAAGTTCTCCCTTTTTTAGTTTGTGGAGAGTTCTTTTGTTTTTGTTTTTGTTTTTCGTGTTTTTTTTTTTTGGAGAGGTTTTTGCTATAGGGCGTGTGCTCTCGCAAGACAAACAGAAAGAGACAGAAAGTGAGAAATCACCCCCCGGGGGGATGGCCACGCTGCAATCCCTTCTCCTCCATTCTCCTCTTGGGATCGTGGGCACGCACGCACATGCACCCGGCAAGAGTTTAAGCCACCGGGTCCAGGACTTGAACCGCGGTTGACTACATGGGAGTTCAGCGACACAGCCATTATGCTAACTGCTGGTCTCCCAGGATTTTTTAAGGAGAGATGAGCATGTTTGACAATGCCTTGTCTTTGGGGGTTATATGGAATTCCTGTAACATGTTTAATGTGGAGTTGTTTGCAAAAAAAGGCAAAATTATTTCCTGTATATCCTGGGCCATTATCTGTTTTAATTTGTTGAGGTTTGTCCATAACAGAGAGCGCAGCAAGTACATGGGAAATAACATGTTTACCGGCCTCTTCAGTTTGTGGTGTGGCAAAAATGAAGCCGCTAATGATATCAACAACAACATGAACATACTTAGTAGTACCAAATTCAGCGACATGAGTTACGTCTATTTGTCATAATGTATCAGGCATAAGGCCCCTAGGATTAATGCCTAGATGTGGTATAGGCGAAAGGATAAGACAGGCTGGACATTGTTTTACAATTTGTCAGGCCTGTTCCCGAGTAATTTTAAACATGAGATGAAGAGTGTGAGAATTTTAAGTGATGTAGTCAATGAGCAGCAACAGCGTCTGAAAGGTTTGTGTCAGTTTGAGTGGAGGTTAGGAAGGAACGTCTTGTAGCCAGATTAGTGCAGCGATTTCCTTCAGTGAGAGGGCCAGGTGAATCTGTATGTGCACGTAAATGGCCAATATAAAAAGGAAGGTCTCATTTTTTAATGGGAGATTGTAGTTGGAGGAAAAAGTGTGCGGCCTGAGAAACTTGTTTAATGTGTGCCGCAGTTTCCAGAAGTGGTACGGACATAGTGATATAAGCGCTGTCAGTGTACAAGTTCAAAGGTGTGTCAGGAAAAGCAGAAAAAACTGCACCAACTGCCTGGAGTTCAACTAACTGAGCTGACATTGAGGATGTTGTAAATGTAACTGTTTAATGAGAGGAAAAAATAAGAAGTACTGTGTGGGTGGTGGAACAGAGGGCCTGTTCTGTGTTTCCTGGCATTCTGGAGAGGTCTGAAATGGATTGTTGTTGTTTGTTGGAACAAACTCTAGTGCCCCAAAAGCTTGTTTGGGTTCAGGGGCTTGGGGCGGCCCCCTGTTTCTGTTTCCCTGATTATTGTTAAGTGGCCTGCCATGGATGTCAGTTTTGGATCTGCACTCATTAGTAGTGTGGCATCCCCTTTGGCATTTACTGCACAACTCAAGAGGTTGATTTTGTCTCTGACCACTAATGTTTTTTGTTCTGCAATTTTTTGCCATATGTCCAGGTGACCACAATTAAAACAATTGCCTCTATTGTTGCGGTTAAGGAATTGGCAGACAGTATACCCTTTAAGAGCGGCGGCTATAGACAATCTTTATTGGTATGCCAACCCAATATCAGAACCTAGGCGAATATATCCTGATAAATCTTTTTTCTATATGGCCTGATTGCTGCATGACAGGCAGTATTGGCATTCTCATATGCCAATTGTTTAACAAAATCAGTACCTGCATCAGCATTGTCGAATATTCTCCCTGCTACAGTAATTAACCGATGAACAAACTCAAAAAAAGGTTCGTCAGGCCCTTGTTTTATTTTGGTAAGGGAGGTACTTAAATCTCCCTTAGTTGGAAGTTTTGTCCAAGCTCTCATGCCAGCCGTATGAACTTGAGCAAATAGCCCTGGATCATATTGCATTTGATTGTTGCTATTTGCATAACTGCCTTCTCCCAGTAGCATATCTGCTGTCCAGCCATTGTTGGCCTAGGCATTACGGCGTGCAGTCTCCTGAAAGCCTCTACATATTGTGATTTCCAAAATAAGTAATCTCCTCCAGAGAGCATAGCATGGGCCAATGTTAGCCAACCCATTGGTGTAAACCAATTGTCTGCCACCGATTCAAAGATTCCTGTTCCTCAAAGTTCATCAATGGTTGTGGTGTCTGAACTGGTTTAATTTTCATGCCAGGGGTAAGTGTGGGCTGGTAGCAAAGCCCACTTTTCGATTTACCCACTCTGTTTTCCCAATTATGATATTAGGTCTTGATGTTTCTTTTCTAATTGAATTTGTTCTTCAACTTGTTTAATTTTATTCAAAACCTCTTCCCTAGGATCAATAACCGGCATCACCAAAGGTGGTGCAGATGTGACCGAATTGTAAGATGGCGGTCGTTTTTTGAAAGGAGGCCATTTTGGATTATTATACAAATAATATATACAAATGGCTGCCTGTTTCTAGAGTTTCTTCTTCAGGTAGCCATTTTGGATTATTCTATCTGGCAGCCTGTGTTTCTAAAGTTTCTTCTTCAGAATCAGTTAATTGGCCATCTAAAGGAGCTGTAAGTTCTGTAAGAGATGGGTATAATTTTTTCTGGGGCTTTATGAAGTTTGTAACTTCCTTACTGACTCTCGTTTTTTTAAGTTGTTTTGGCCTGACATCAGATTGTTTATTAAGATCTGTTACTTCATCCTCACTATTAAGGAAATTAAATCTTTTTCTTTTTTGGCATCAGGGTCTTTTTTAGTTTCTATGGCATTTCCACTATCTGCCTGAATTTTATCTCTTTGCATAATTTATTCCTCCTCTGCGACGACTGCGGCAATTTTGAGGTCAATTGACCGGAACCTAATGATTTCATCTATTAGATTCCAATAAGAGAAGGTTATTACTGGGAACTTTTCCGGTCCGAATGTGATGTAGTAATCTTTTAAAGCGTCACTTGCCCTCTTCCACCTCTGTTCATAAATAGTACCTTCTTGGGGAAACCAGGGGCACACCTCTTTTAGGAAATCAAAGAAAGTAAATAATTGTTTGATCTTAATTTTAACTCTACATGTCTTGAGGGCTTCAGTAGGCCCATGAACAAATAAGTCATGTTTACTCATTTCTTGTCCCACAATCACCCTTATTACTTATAAGTAACCGTTGTTACTTACCAGGACGATTCTCTGCCATCCTCTTCTGTTTTCCGCTGCGGCCTTCTTTGTTCCGGTGCTCCTCACTGAATTCCTCCTACCTAGGTCCCTGTTTGGGCGCCACATGTCCCGACCCACAGGACAGTCCAACAGTAACCTGGGGGAGAGAGAAAAGGGACACACACACAGACACACAGAGTGGAGACAAGACGAGGTGCTGATCAAGTCTCAAGTTTATTGAGGAAGAATGGCGAGTTTATATACAGGATGGTGGGCATTGATTGGTTGCCAAAATGGGCAAATAAGGTATCACAGATGGACCAATCATTGGTGCCCCGGAAGCTGCCCTAAATGCAAATGAGGGATTCTAGTTCAACCAATCAGTGAGTATCCTGCAATTGCAAACGGGCGTCTAGCCAACAAGAGGCATGATCTTTCTCCTGTTGCCTAGAAACCTATCCACCCCATGGGGAGAACAGTTGGTTACATGGTTTCTGGGAAATGGTTTACTCAGTGAGGAAATGAAAGTGAAACCCAAAGTTTTCTAAGATGGCGGACAACTCTTAAGATGGCCCCCGTATGCAGTGCCCTCCACAATTGTGCTTCAACCCCCAAATTACATCCCATAATGCACTCAGAAGTCAGACACCAGCAATATCAGGACTACTGATAGTACAGCAAGCAAGCAGAGGGCATAGCAATAAACTGGACATATTACTGAGCACACAAAATACTCGAGGCTGCCCCAGCTCTCACCTGGAGCTCCAGGACGGAGAACACAGATTTCTCAGACGTCGAGGACATATCATCTTCCTCATCTTGGGTGAGGTCGTCGAAGTCCTCTTCCTCCTCCTCCACCTCTGGCCCCTCCTCTCTTCCAGCTTCTGGCCCAGCTATGGTCTCCACTGACTGCCCATCGGCACCAGAGGGGTCTTCAGGCTTCCCTGGGGGACTGCTGCGCACCATCTCGGGGTCCGGGGAGGAGGAAGCACTTTGGTGAGCCTTTGCTCCCATCTCTCCCTGAGTCCCCATCACCAGGAGGATCCTGAGACACTGAAGGGGTTCTGGCTGGCCCGCCCCTCTCCTCCTCCCTCTGTAAGACCTTCTGCCTCTTCCCCTCTCTGGTGCTGCTCAGCTCCTCCGCTGGGGAGGCAGTGTCCAGTTGCACAGTGTTTAATTTCATCACAAATGTCCTGCTTGGAGGATCCCCCTTGTCCCAACCTACAGGACAGTCGAACAGGTTTCCTGAGGGAAGGACTGAGAGACAGGACAAACAGCACAGAGACGACACAGTGTTACAACTCTTCAGGATCGTCTCTTTATTATGCGGCAGAGATTGTGGCTATATACGTGCTGGTGGGCGGTGACTGGTTGTTCTGTAAATGAAAGATTCTAGACGGACCAATCATGGGGTACCCAGATATGCAAATATGAGGGATTCTGAGTTCACCAATTGGTGGGCATCATTGACTATAGCCAATCAGAGTGCGGTATCAGAGTGCAGTTTTGAAGGGGAGTCAATCATGGCCTTTGGCGTTGTGTAATTGTTTGCTCTCTTGAGAAACCGAAACCTGAGGGCTTCCTAAGATGGCGATAGTAAGAGACTCATGAAAATGGCCTCAGCAGACTTGCTGGTGTGCAGCCTCCCACACCCCTGGCATGTCTTCCCCAGCATCCATAAGTTCTGTCTTGACAATTGCCTTGAAATCCCCAGGGGAAGGATGTAGAGATTCCTGAAACCCCTGAGGCAGCGGCTCCAAAGCTTGACTCCCGTCCTCCGTTTTCACAACTGTCCAACCACACACACTGTTCTCCGACAATCCTTCCTGGCACTCCATATCTGCTGCTGGGGGCCCTGGGCTTTGCTCCTCTTTAGGGACAATGGTACCAGAGAGGGGAGATTGTTCTTGGGGTTCCAGGCTTTGAAAGGCAATGTTCCCTTCAGCCAAAGGACAGGTAAGGTCCACATTCACTTGGGCCTTATCTTCGGGGTGAGATGGTACAGGAAGATTTACAGAGCTGCCAGAAACAATTAAGGGTGGGATAGGGGAGGCCACAAGGGGCTGGTTCAATGGACAGGAGAACGAAGTAGGGTTAACCAAGAGGGTAGTGATGGGAATGGTCTGGGGGCTCTGGGCCACAGCCGCACTGACAGGCTGAATCACGTTACAGCCACTGCCAAGGCTCACGACCTTCACGGTGGTGGCGGGAACGGTGAAGATAACGGGTGCAGAATGGATGAGGGGGGCAGCTTTCAGACAGGGCCCTTTTCTCCTTGAGCCTCTTCGTCTCCCACATGGCTTTCGAAACTTAGAAGGGGCAAGCGAGGGCAGCATGACTTTGGGCACAGGGGCAGAGGAGAGCAGGGTCTGCGACTCGGGCAGAGCGAAGCTGGTCCTGGCCTCAGGGTGTACAGCAGGTGGTGCTGCAGGAGACTCAACACCATCGCCCCCACTGGGCCCCAGTGGAGGGACACCTGGAACTGCCTGTAAGACAGTGGCTGGCTGGATCAAGTGAGGGATCCGGACCACCATTTTGCTCGGAGGGGCTTCTGACTGAGCGGCCCTGGCTGGTGTTTCCCCAGGGTTGAAGCTAGGCTGGAGCGGGGGGCTGGGTCGGATAAGAAGGGGCTTCAGGACTGACGACTGCTTCTGTCTCGAAGCCTTCTTGGGGACACAGTTGGCCACAGGCTTTAGTTCTAGGACGACCCCCTTAGGCAACAGCAGAGGGTACCGAGTTTCACTCCCCAGTTCCGAGCTGCCTTGGTTCGGGCTGATGTCAGTGGCTCCCCCGTCTCCAGCCCCCTCCGCCATGGGC